GGTGAGGAAGATCAGCCCTGAGCTAACATCCATGCCAATCCTTCTCTTTTTGCTGAGGAAGACTGGCCCTGGGCTAACATCCATGCCCATCTTCCTTTACTTTATATGGGATGCCGCCACAGCATGGCCTGACAAGCGATGTGCCAGTGTGCGCCGGGGATCCGAACCCTGGCCGCCAGCAGCGGAGCGTGTGCACTTAACTGCTACGCCATGGGGTCGGCCCCTAGAATTGGCATTTCTAACAGGTTTGTAGGTGGATCTGATGCACAGCTGGCCTCGGGAGCCCCTGGGCTTGGGGCCCATTGTGGGAGCCTAATTTCTAGGTGGGATTCTTCCCTTGTTAAGCGCCAGGCCTTTCCAGGGTGGTTCTGGCCTGGCGGGCACCTGGCTCTGGGCCCAGGGCAGCTCTCCAGCCTGGGCTGAGTCTCCAGGGTCCACCCTCCTGCCCAACTCTGCCCTGCCATCCCCACCCAGCTCTGCCTGGCAACTCCCCTTCACATCCACTTTGGTGGTCCTCACAGCTGCTTGTCCCCTCAGGATGCCAACACCTGCTTCCTAGTGAGGCCATGCCTGACCCTCTGGTGCCCTAGAAGGCCAGGCCACTCAACAGGAAAACTATCGAACTGAAAAACTGCTGCCCGTTTCTACGAGGATTGTTTCTGCTGTTATAAGGGTTGGCACTTCAAGAATTTTCAAGGACAGAGGGGGCAAAAGTAACCTTTCCGTATCCTGAAATTACGCTAATAGATGTGACTTGCACAAGAGTCATTTTGGATGTGCAACAGCCCTTGTGTGGCCCCCATGGAAAGCAGGATCTTGCCAGCTCCCCCACCTCTTAGGATTTTTTGTATCAGCACAATATTAGTACAATGTCTTAACATTTGTTTAGTACTCTTTATTTTATAAATACCCCTCTATATACTTATTTGTTATGTTATTAATCCTCACAACTGTGAGGGAGGTAGAATTGACACCGATTTATAGCTGAGCTTGGGGATTTATTTATCAACACACAGAGCATCCTAAGTGTTTTCTAGACACCCACCTGTGAGGTACGTGCTGTTGTCAGCATCCCCTGAGGCTCATGGTGCAGTTACAGCACTCGTCCAAGGTCACATAGCAGGTCACCGGCAGAGAGGGCTCCTCAATCCCTGTGGATCCTGCTGTTACCAGGACAACGCTGCGGGGAGCTGTGCTTGCCCAAGACCACACGGCTGGTCAGGGCAGCCCTCGTCCCTGAGGTCTCCTGACCCGACATCCAGGCTCTTTCCACTTCTGTTGTAGAAGCTGCCAGATCGGGGTTAGTGCTAGCTCTTTGTGCAGCTCTGGGCCCACAGAAGGCTGCAAAGAAGAGCCGGGGGTGGGTCAGGCCTGGGTTTCTTGGGCAGAGTGGCCAGGTTGGTAGCTCCTGCCATGCGCTTTCCTTCTGCAGACGAGCTTCTTGCTTAGCTCACAGCAGCAGAGGCAATTGGGGGCCAGAGGCTTCTCTGTGAATCTTGCAGGGTTAGGAAGTTTGTGCCAAGGGGTGGACGGAGAGGAAGAACAGGGAAGTTTCCTGTGGGGGGGCTTGGTGGGCAAGTTGTCGCCCTTGGAGGCCCCTGGAGAGTAGGCACGTAGCCAGTGCCCCGAGCTCCCCTCGCGCAGCAGCTCTGCTCCTGAGGAGCTGTAAACCGGTGAACTTTTTAATAAGTGGACCTGGCTTTCAAATGCAGTTGGTGAGCTGCAGCGAACAAGAAGGCTTAATTGCCAATTATTCTGTAAAGGGAAGAATTGCTGTTAATGTAATTATCCCTCTCCCCCTCTTTTTCTCTTTTATCCGTTGGGTACCTGCTTATTTGGGGCGCTTCATTGGACCCGTGGGCTAAGCAGCACTTCCCCAAATGGCACTTCCTGTTCCTGTCTGTTCCCATGTGGTGAGGGACCCAGCCTGAAGGTTCCAGCCCTCTGTGGCTCTTCCACAAGCTTCCTCGTCTTCTGACAACATCTTCTAACATGGTAGGGGTGGAGTTTGTTTCTAATTCTGGGGGACAAACTGCACACCCCTCTTTACTGGAAGCCTGGTGGTGCCTGCCTATCTGGATGACCCCTACTCGCCACCAGGGAGCCGGAGGGGCCGCTAGTGGTCAAGAGCCTGGCTCTGGAGCCAGACTGCTTGGGCTTGAATCCCGTTACTTAACTTGTGCCTCAGTTTCTTCGTCCATGAATTGGGGATGATAACAGTAGTAACCTAGCCTCATAAGGTTGTGGTGGGGATTCAGCCAGGTAAGAAACAGCTCCCGGCTCGTTTAATAAACGTCTTATCCTTCACGCCTACGTCAACAAGCCCAAGTTGAGTAGCAGCGTCTTGTTGGCACTGTACTGTGCCAGCTCTGAAGCTCTTCCTCATTTGCTTCTCAAAACCCTAAAATCCCCATTTTGTAGATGAGGAAACTGAGGCTCAGGAGGGCTAGCTAGCCCTCCCGCATTTACACGGGCAGAGCAGGCCCTGGATGGAGCCTGCACTCCTCCCTCCTGGTCCAGAGCCCTTTCCCCCTCACCTGCCTGTTGGGTTGACTCTGCTGGGGCCCTGTGTCAGATGTGAAGATGCAGGAGTCTTGGATCCTGCCCCAGGGAATCTGTGGATTGGACTGAGAGAATGATTGCTAAACTGGGGCTGTCTGCACCTGACCTTCAGATAAGCAGGAACTCTGAGCTGGGGTAGTAAGGGTTTACCTGTTGGCCCAGGGGGACCTGGAACTGGGACAGTTTTTAATTGTAATGATAAATACTTAACATAAAATTGACCATCTTAACCATTTTTAAGTGTACAGTCCAGAGATATTAAACATTCATAAGGTTGTGCAACCATTACCACCATCTCCAGAACTTTTTCATCTTGCAAAACTGAAACTCTGTTCCCTTTGAACAATAACCCCATTTCTCCCTCCCCCCACTCGCTGGCACCCACGGTTCTACTTTCTGCCTCTATGAATCTGACTACTCTAGGCCTGACTGCTCTAGGTGCCTGGTATAAGTGGAATCATATAGTGCTTGTCTTTTTGTGACTGGCTCATTGCACTTAGCATAATGTCCCCAAGGTTTGTCCATGTTGTAGCGTGTGTCGGAATCTCCTTTTTTTCGAAGGCTGGACACCATTCCGTTGTGGGGATATACTGCATTTTTTTATGTGTTCATCTGCTGAGGGACGCTTGGGTTGCTTCCACTTCTTGACTGTTGTAAATAATGCCTCTGTGAACACGGGTGTGCAAATCTCTTCCAGGCCCTGCTTTTAATTCTTTTGGGTATATACCCAGAAGTGGGATTGCTGAATCATCTCATACATATTTTTAAAAGGGCATGTGGGAGCACAGGGAAGGCTCTCAGACATAAACAAATCATTATTAACTTTGTCCTGGTCAAGGAAGAATTCCATCCAAACGCAGTTTGTTTTAAGTATGGATTTGAAGGAAGCCCACACTGGTAATTCATTCTTCAGTTCTTCGGAGACCACTGTCTTTGGGGTGGGGGGCTGAGCTCCCTTGTGGGTGCCGATTGAGGAGGTTGGGGATGGAGGCAGGGAAGCAGTTCAGTCAAGGCCACGGGGCAGGAGAAGCTGGGCTGCAAGGACATGCCCTGTGGCAGCACCAGTGACAAGAGCATCAACCCGCCCTGGCTGGGAGCCTGGGGGCAGGTGGCCCGAGGCTGAGTCTTCAGTGGCTTTGTCAGACACTGTCCATTTCAGCCACACCGTCCATGCTACGGACTCAGAGCTGTCACCACTCTCCCTTGCTCAGAGAATACATCACGAGGCAGCTCTATCAGGCAGGTTCCCAGCAGGAAACAAAATGGTACTGTCAAAATAGTAACTCAAGGAGAGTTTAATAAAGGACACTTGCAAAATGCCAGCAGAGTGTAGGAGAACCACAGTACTGCTGGCTGGTACCAGCTGGGCTGACGTCACTCCCAGGCCTGAAGGAGTGAGGGTGGGAACGGTCACTGCAGCCCAGGAGAGAACTGGCTTCCTCCAGGGAGATGCGACCGTGGCCCAGCCAGCGTGGCCTGACCTGCCTCTGCTGGTCATATCAAGTCTCCTGCTGGGCCTCCCAACAATCTGAACCCTGCTGGCAGTGGGGGGACCAGGGAGCTGACAGAGGTGGTGGTGATCTATACAGGGGGTAGGGGGAGCGGCAGAGAGTGGGCTGGAGAAGAGCAGAGGAACAGACAGAAGACTCTGCAGGGACAGGGGAGAGAAAGGAGGCACTGCTTTTAACGCTGAGTCGAAGGCGTGTTCCAGCTCGGCCGGGGCCCTGAGGCGGGTGCCCACTCCAGCCCATCTCTGCCACCGCAGGCCTGGACTGCCAGCGCTCTTAGCCCCTCCTCCTGTACCTGGAGGGGGCACTTTGACTTTCAACTTGCAGCCAGTCCGAGGGTTTGCGGGCAGGGAGGCGGGGAGGGCTGGCTATCTTGGCAGGAACCCCTGAGCTTCAGCATGTTCTTTAGAACATAATAACTGCATCTTATCTGCATTCTTCATCCCTTCGAAAATGTTTAGTTTTAGTGTGGCTTTTTCGCTTATTCTGCACAATTCCAACAGCTCATGGCTGAGGCGCTGTGGTCCCTGGAGATGTGATGGGCCCTCCGTCATCCGTCCCCGGGGTCGAGGTGGGGGCCTCCACTCCCTGGGTGACCCCACGGCCCAGTGGCAGTGGAGCCCTGTCGTCTGGTCTGGATTGCGGTCAGGGCCATGCTCGCAGCCCCCAGGGCCCCTCTGCTAGCGGGGCTCCGAGCTGGGTCTCGCTCGGCTTGGGTTCTCAGATGTCGGGTGGTGCCTGATGTGCAGAGGAAGGGGCTTGTCCGTGGGAGAGCCTTGACCGCTGCAGGGAGCCTCAGCCAGCTCAGGGCCAGGCCCCTGAGGGGGCAGGAGGTCAGCCCAGCCTCAGAGGGGAGGTTATTTTACATGGAAAAACCCATCTTTTCATTTTGACCTCTTTTCTTCAAGTCTTTGTTTATATGCATTAATATTTTTATTGATTCTCATCGATGTATATATCCATTTTTTTTAGTTCCACGTGTCATCACAGCAGTCCTACATCTCATGGTCTTTAGCATCTCTGGTTTAATGGCTACAGTTGCACTGAGTGGAGGTATCATGGTTTACTAGCCACTCTTGGTTTTCAGTGCTTTTCTTGGCTTAATTTACACTTACACTTGGCACTTTGCCTTCCTGCTGTCAGATGCTGTTGAGATGGGACGGAAGCAGCCAGAATGGGGATGATGCCCCTGGGTAGCCTTTCCTGGCCTCGCTTAGCGCCCGACCACACTGGTCCTTAGAGTACTGCGGGCCGTGACACCTGTGCAGGGCCAGCTCGCGGCATCTGAGTGCCCCAGGACACCCTGGCGGCCTTCCAGCCAGCCTGAGGAAGATGGGGCTGAGCCCTCCCCACGGTAGATCTGGTCTCAGGGAAAGTTTGTTGACAATCTTAAAATGTTTTACAAACTCTGTGGGGTTGGCAAAGAGCTGGGTTGTGTTTTGCTGAACAAATTTTGCCCTCTACTTTTAAACAGACGTGTATTTTAAGGAAACATAAACTGCAATGTCTTCAAGTGTTTACTTAATTCAAACAAACGTTGTTTTCTTAGAGGCCTGGTATATGCTATCTAAGAAGACCAAAAAACATTTCTTTGTTAATTTTTTAAAAAATTCTGTTTCTTAGAACCCAGAAAGTTGAGTCCTTCCAAGAGTAACTAAGCTTAAACCTAGAGCCAAAAAGAAAAGTGTGAATCAGCTTGAAACATCCCAGGAGATCCTAAACTCCATCTACCTGATCCTAGACATCTAAATGAGGTTTAAAATTTGATCGAATCCTTAACGTAATAAATATATCCCCCGAATGTGTGGGTATTTGAGTTCATCAGTCTGCTCATCTGTGAAATGGCTCTTAGGTCTAACTTTCCTTTGATTTTGTTGATTTTCTGGTCCCTGAATTCTCTCCAAATATACTCAGCTTCAGTTTGCTGTCAAAAGTTGTTATCTGAGATGGAAACATCTTTGCCTAAAGGGCAGGCCCTACTATGATCTGACCGGGGCTCCCAGGGCTGCTTATCAATGCCCGAGGCATAAACATTGATCCCCGGGCCGGGCGGCGAGAGTCAGAAGATGTGACAGGCGCACTGGTAAGAGGGATGATCAGGTATGCTCAGCTGAGAACCCAGGCTCGGCGTGGCCTCCCACTATCCCAGACCTCCACCCTCGCCGTGTCTCTGCCTCATCCACCATTTCTGCCAAACCCCTGAATTCTGACCTTAGGGGTCCCTTCTGCTTTGGTGAGTGCCGTCTCCTCTCCCAGAATGCTCTTCTTCCCACACAGGCACCACGTAGACCCTTCCTGCTCTGTCACACCCAGGCTTCTACTCTGTTGACCCCTGGACATCCTCTGTCCCAGCTCATGTCACATTCAGCTGACTGTCTCTTCTTCTGGGTTGGCTGCCCTCTTTGAAGGCAGGGAATGTGTCCTAATCATCTCTGATCTGTGTTTGTTTCCTGTGGCTGCTGTGACTAATGATCACACTGGGTGCCATAAAACAACAGTTTATTCTTGCAGAGTTCTGGAGGCCAAAAGTCCAAAGTCAGTGTCACTGGGCCGATATCAAGATGTTGGCAGGGCTGCGCTCCCTCTGAAGCCTGTAGGGGAGAATCTGGTTCCTCTTTCAGCTCCGAGTGGCTGCCGGCACTCCTTGGCTTGTGGCCTCATCACTCAGGTCTTCAGGGCCAGCACCTTCAAATCTCTCTCTGCTCTGTCTTCACAGTGCTTTCTCTCTGCCTCCTCAGATCTCCCTCAGCTTCCTTCTTATAAGGACATTTGTGATTGCATTTAGGGCCTGCCCTGCGAATCCAGGATAATCTCCCTATCTCAAGATCCTTAATTACATCTGCAGATGTGTCTTTTTCCAAGTGAGGTAACATTTCTTGGTTCCAGGAATTAGGACCTGATCTCTTTGGGGCATTATTCTGCCTACCACAGTGTCTCTCCCCAAATGTAAGATCAGCTAGCACCTGACATTTACTCAGACTGTGCAACAGCCCCATGAAACAGGCATTGTTACTCTCCCCATTTCAGATGAGGAAATCGAGGCATGGGGAGGTGAAGTAGCTTGCCCTTGGGCAGTCAGTAGCAGCATCAGGATGCTAGCCTAGGCATCCCGGCTCCGAAGACCATGCCCTTGGCCTCTATACTTCTTGTCACCGTAACACTGGGTTTGTTGAGTGACTTGAGTGAATACAGATAGCTGAAAAGTTTGAAGAAGACTGAAAGGAGATGATGAAGAAGGGGGAGGGAAGGAGAGGAGGGAGGAAGAAGAGAGTGGAAGATGAGAGAACAAAAGGATTCAGGCGCAGACTGAGTGCTCCCTGAATTGCTCCTGGCACCCCACAGTTCCTGAGACTTGCCCAGAGTTAAATCATCATTTAAAAGGGCTAGTCAATTCTGGACTGGCCTTACACACTCCCTGTCCCCCCCTTTCTTCCCTTTCTCTCCTTCTCAAACATTCTTCCCAGAAAACAAGAGCTGGCATGCCCCGGTATGCTGACGTCTCCCCTCATCTACAGGACATGAAAGCTACGTGACCTTCTGCCAGCTGGAGGATGAAGCTGCCTTCACATGCAGTGCTGACTGCACCATCAGGAAGTGGGATGTGCTGACAGGGCAGTGCCTGCAGGTGTTCCGAGGACACACGTCCATTGTGAACAGGTCAGTGTGGCCTGGAGGACAGAGATGGAGGCCATGGGGCCCCTGCCCTGGGGGAACTTAGCTTCTCTGGGGAAGTCCACGTGTGGACACATGGAGAAGTGTTACCCAGCAGAGAAGTGTCCCCAGGTGCGACAATTGCTAACTGCCCAAGGCTGCAGGTGGGGGTTTGGGAGGCAGAGGTGGGGGAAGGGAAGCACCACCAACACATTCACTTGTGCATGGATGCCCCCCTTGGGGGCCCTGGCAGCACAGTTGCCCCCTGCTAGGCACAGGGAAAGGCATTGGAGGCCACAGCTCCCACTGATGGGAACAAATTCCAGAGGAAATGACTTAATTGGCACCGGATGGTGGACCAGGGGCTTGGAGGAGGAGCAAAATGGGGGTTGCTCTGAAGATGGAGTCAAGGGTATTTTTAAATCTGTCTTTTCTATGTTGCTGTTGAAAATATTTCACCCCCTTGCCTCTCTAGGAGGTTTGAATTTTTCCTTTCCTTATTGAATTTGGGTCTGAGCTGAGCCATGGAAATTCCTTTGCTGACCAGATCAATTTGACACTATTTATGTAACTTGTGGCCTCTCAAACTCCTGAGGGAATGCCCGGTATAAGCAGGAGTCTGGGCACCTGTCCTTGGGCCCTGGTGGCCACACCGACCAGAAGGGGCACCTGCCTGGGAGCTTAACTAGGTAAGGAAAGGGCCCAGTGCAGGCGGCCGTTTGGAGGGAGTCGGAAGGCTGAGCTGAGGCGGGCGGGGAACGAAGGTTGTCCGCCAGAGGGACGTGGCCAGTGTGGGCTTTGCGCATGGCTGGGTCGGGGCGGGCACTTTGCCTGCTTTGCGCATGCCTGGGTCGGGGCGGGCAGTTGGCCTGCTCTGCGCATGCCTGGGTCGGGGCGGAACCGACTGGCTTCATGGTCCAGTGCACCGTGGCGGGAAGGGGTGGGCTGGGCCTATCACTAACAGCTGGTGGCCCTCAGTCGGGAAGGTGCACCAACCAGGAAGGAACTAGGTAACATCCTTGAGTAGCAAGATAGATGTAGACCAGCAGACCTTGTTGTGTTGGCTCAGGGTGTTCTGAGTGGAGAAGGAAGTCGGGAGGGACCCCAGTAGGGAGCCCCTGCCCCCACCTTCCAGCGGCCCAGCTTTTACCCCCCACCCCACCCCGCTTAGCGAGAGCAGGGCCACGCAGACAGAGGTGGGAGGGAAGGGGCTAGAACTAGCACTCGGTCCCACAGCTCCTGCGGCCTCCTCCCAGCGCTCTTGTGATTGAGGAGAAGTGTGCGTGTGGGGCAGTCTCCTTTTGTGGGGCCGTGAGTGGCGCCAGGGGAAGGCCCCATCCCAGGTGACCAGCTTGCCCTCAGGTTGAACCAGAAACAATCTGCTGCTCCTGGACAGTAAATCTGGACAATTATGGCTAGAAATTATGCTCTGCCAGGTTTAGACTCTCCAGAGTGCACACACAACATGCACACATGTTCACACATACACACATACATGTGCGCTCTTGCACAAACACAAATACACATGCACTCTCACACACAAACACATATACACACGTATTCACACACACACTACTTTTGAGTGGTCAGCTGTTCTAAACCAGTAGCTCTGGGTAGTTATTTGCGTTATTAAGTAACTGCTCACAAATGGGCGATATCCTTGAGGTGAGGACGTGCAATTCACTTTTTCCCGTGTTTTCAGAGCCGGGCCAGGCATGTGAGCTTCTTGGGGCACCGACCAGACCTGGCATCCCTGCCTGCTTATGCCAGGCAACACCCGGCGGGACTCAGGCCCCCAGAACGTCACCTGTCCGTGCCACATGACGTCAAGTTGTCACTTTCCTTTAGGAATACACACTCGTGAAAACCATAGTTCCTGAGTATTTGGGAAGAAGCCAGTCAGAAAGAGGGAGTTGGTGTTTCAGCGCAGTCTGTTTCCTTGATTACTCGTGGGAAGTGAGAATGATCCAGAGTGAGGGGTGGGCGCTGGGTGGGCAGAAGGTCTCTTCTCTTCACTGGGCCCTCCGTCCTCCCAGCCACATCAGCCTCACAGGCAAGACCTTTTAAAAGAGGGAGCACAAAGTGCCTCTGACCCTGACATGGGGTGTTCTGACCCCTCTGTCCCCACACCAATGACGCGCCTGCATTCCAGCTTCCTTGTGCCCTTTGTGGTCTCCTCTCCTGGGGCCTCAGAGCTTCTTAACAAGGGTGTGTAAACAGACCCTTTGAAGCTATATGCAAAGTTCTATACTAAAGACAAATGTGTATTTTCTGGGGAGAAGTTCTTATCATTTATCAAAATGAGAATAAGAATCGTGACTGTTTACTGCGGGGGAGCCTCTCCTCCCCCATGGTGTGGACCGAACCTCTCTGCTCCTCTCACTCGAACTTCCCTGGGGCCTGCGGCCCAGGGCTGTGACCTGGAGCTGGAGTGGTGCCAACAGTCCTCAGCCCGGAGGAGGTTCTGCTGTGTGAGCTGACAGCAGACACCCACCCCAGCTCCACAGCAACTCATCTCTGACTGTGCCTCCCATGGGCCCTGACCTTGTAGAAGTCACCCGTGGGCGTGATCCCGGGACCAGTGTGGTGAGAGCAACTGCAAGGGCTGGCTGGCTTCTCCACGGCTACTCAATCGGAAATGCCGTGCCCAGTCTCTTGAGTCTGACCTGTCCCTAGGGTGACAGCATGTCTCACTTTGCCCAGAACCTTCCCAGTTTTCAAACTGCAAGTCCCGCATCCCCAGAAACCTTTCAGTTCTGTGCAAACCAGGAGGGTCAGTTTTCCTACCCATCCCCCCCTACCCCCTGTTCCCTTTGCTCTTGCTGCCATAGCTGTGGAGCAGCTTCCACGGGTGATGTGTTGGGAGGGAGCATCAGAGCCTTGGCCCCTGATGAGGGGAAGGTCCAGGTGGGCCAAGGGCCCAGTGCATGGGGAGATTCAGACAGGAGGGTCACTGGGGGCAATTCTGGGCAGTGTCCTGGGAAGGGGGCCCTTGAACTGGACGCGAGGTGAGTGTGGCTGGCTGGGTGGAGAGAGGGAGAGCCTCTTCCAGCTGCAGCGCTGAGGCGGCTGATCTCCGGCCCAGGCAAGTGTCTATGCAGGGGTGGGTGGAGGTGTGGATGGCAGTGACCGAGGACACCTTCAGTCTGGGCTCTGTTCTGTGGAAGCCCAGAGGCTGAGCTTCTCCCTGGGGTCCCTGACATTTCCAGGAGGGCTCTCCTGGTCCCCTCACAGTCCCCCTTGATTCAGGGGGTGGGCTCGAGTTCCCCAGCCCCATGATTTTCTCAGGTTCGTGTCTCTTCTTTGCTGGGAGCATCTTGTGGTTCCCATTGCCTGGGCTCGTTGAACACATTAAGACACCAGCCAAAGGGATCCTGTGACAGCCTGCAGGGCAACCCTGTGTGGTCTGACCCCTGACCCTTCCCCTCTTGCCGCCAGGATCCTGGTCGCCAACAACCAGCTCTTCAGCAGCTCCTATGACCGGACAGCTCGTGCCTGGAGTGTGGACAAGGGACAGGTGTCCCGGGAGTTCCGGGGCCATCGCAACTGTGTGCTGACTCTGGCCTACTCTGCCCCCTGGGACCTCCCCGGGGCGCCCTGCGTGGAGGAGGCCGTGGCCGGGGGGCTCCTGGTGACGGGCAGCACAGATGGCACAGCCAAGGTGTGGCAGGTGGCCAGTGGCTGCTGCCACCAGACGCTGCGGGGCCACACGGGTGCTGTGCTCTGCCTTGTGCTGGACACACCCAGCCACACAGCCTTCACCGGCAGCACTGATGCCACCATCCGAGCCTGGGACATCCTGAGTGGGGAGCAGCTGCGGGTATTCCGGGAGCACCAGGGCTCTGTCATCTGTCTGGAGGTGAGACCTGCCCAGCCCCCCCGTCTGCCGGGGAAGCCCCTGGGCCATCTTCTGAGCTGCTGCCCTACACACCTGGTCAGCTCAGGCTGTGTAACACAGTACCACAGACTAGAGGGCTTAGACAACAGAGACTGATTGTCTCACAGGTCTGGAGGCCGGAAGTCCAAAATCAAGGTGTGGGCAGGGTTGGTTTCTTCTGAGGCCTCTCTCCAGGGCTTGTAGACGGCCGTCTTCCCCCTGTGTCCTCGTATGGTCTTCCCTCTGCATCTAGGTGGTGAAGCCCAGAGCTGCCCAGTCCCTGCCATGCTGGTTTGGTTGTGTAAATCGCATTTTTCTAACTCAGATCCTGCTTGAGGACGTTGTGATGGGGAAGGGGGACTGAGCTGGGAGTCAGCCATCTGGTTTCTGATTCCAGGATTTAGAGGCTGGAGGGCAGAGGAAGGAAGGTCCTTGGGACCTGGCAGGTCCCTGGGAAGCAGCACTGTGCATGATGGGGAGAGATGTGCAGGGAGCAGTGGACGCTGTGTCCTGGGTGCAGCGTGGCGGGACAGGCTCAGGGTCCGTGAAGAAGGGCGGAGCAAGTCTCTGGGCAGCCAGCTGGCTCAGAGCTTCTGGTATCGGCCAAGGGGGAGTCTGTCTCCTCTGCTTGAGTCAGCCTGGAGGACATGGAGTCCACTGCCTGGCCTAGCAGCAGGAAGTGAATGAGTGATGGGGCAGTGAGCAAATTCATGAGTACAGCGCTGGTAGGAGCTTGGCACTCTGCAGGGTGCTCAGGAGACTGCAAGGAACATAGGGCAAGGCTAACTCCCAGGGTGGGGTGCTCCAGGGTGGGGTGCTCCCTGGGCGGGGCAGTCTTTCTCCCATAAGTGCAGACCAGGCTAGTTCCCAGCTAGGTCCCAGTCAGGGAGGGAGGGTGGAGGAGGCACGTGGGGAGAGGGCCTTGCTGGGCAGTGGGATGGGGCAGGGTGAGGGTGGGCACAGTGGAGTATGTGGAGGGAGGCCCCGGGTCAGAGTCAGGAGGCAGGAGGGGCCCTGCTGTTGGCTGGAGCAGGGAGAGCGCGTCCAGTCTGAGGAGCTGGGCGCCGTTGTGGAGCCGGTCCTCACATGGTGTCTGAAGGGACTGGCACAGGGCAGCACTGGCGCTCGTACGAGAGCAGCTAGTGCTTGATTCAGTCAACATCTGGTTATTGGGTTTGTTGGTTGGTTAGTTAGTTAGCTATTAAGTCCCAGCCTCTTCACCCGAGGTGGAGTTGAGGTAGAAGAGCCCCCATGTTGCAGAGTGGTTGGGGTGAGGGTCCGCCTGACGGAGTTCCAGGGTCACCGTCTCCATTGGTGAAGGCCTGGTCTTCCAGAGGAACAGCTCAGTCACGGACCCACACGACGCCTGTCAGGTTGCGTTTATGGTGCGCCTTGGTGGCAGTGCCCTGGGAGCCGCAAGGACCCGCCTTCCTGGTTTGGACGCTAGATAGACGAGTCTCCCTGTTCTGTTTCCTGCCATTCCCCGGTAGGAAATCAAACCTCGTCGTACCTCGACTTGGGACATGCGTGCGTGTGCGACATTTGGGTGTTTCTAGATTCTCTCTTCTCCCCATCACAGGGCTGGGAGGGCGCCTTTCCCACCTCTCCTGATCTGCCTCTTGAACAGAGCTGCTCCCCACGACACCCTTGCCTTCCGAACCTTTCGGGGCCACCTGACAGTCTCTGGGCGCAGCCTCTGAGACTCTTGCTGTGTGGTCCCTCACCGTGACCCTGCTGTCATCTTGTCTGAGTGTATAGCACAGCCGCAGAGTCAGGGGCACCCATCTCGTTCACCTTACCTTCTCCAAATAGGAGGTGGCCCTTGGCTTCATGTCGGTTTCCTTTCTCTGTCCCATCCCCTGCAGGTACACATCCAGGTCCATCCACCTGAGACAGGGAGGTGATCTCTTCTAGGGGACCTCACAGAATTCCCACTCCTCCCAGCATGGCGAGGGGCAGGCTGCTTTCCCAGAAGCCCTGCAGACAGGCAGGGTTCCCGGGTGTCTGGAGACCCTGGGAGCATCCTGGGCCCCCTGGATGGTTTTGGGAGGCTTGGGGCCTGGCCTCTGGCATTGTTTTGGTGAGGAAGCACCCGTGCTTGCAGATTGAGAGCTGAGGGAGTTGCCTGCGGTGTCCTGTTAGGATGAGTGTGGGACATCGACTGGGATTCTGATGGAGCCTGTTCCGTGGAGCTGTGGTATTTCCACTGTTCATGCTAAACAGGTCAGGCCCTTTGTGTGTTGAGAGGAACTTGTGGGCTGGCTTTGCAGAGGTCGGGGACGAGAAGAGGAAACAGTACAGAGTTACACAGCCTCTTATACCCTGCCTCCGACCCTATCGGCCTTGCATGGATGAGGTACCACTGAGGCATCCTCCCCGCCTCCTCGCAGGCCTGCTGCCACTCTGAACCTTCCAGGAGCAGAGGCGAGGCCTGAGAAATCGGCCAAGCCCTGAGGGGCCTCTGCCTTTCCCGTTCATTATGGAACGTGTTTCCAGGGTTGAGCACGCCAACCCCAGAGGGTTCCAGAAGCCAGGTGGGGGCAGAGCCAGGAGCACGCAGGCCTCCTCTGGAGGGGGTGGTCCAGAGCAGAGGTGAGGGCTCGCTTCCAAGTAACAAACTCAAGGTGAAGCCCGCTGACTGTGGTGTGGGGCTGCTCCCTCCCCTGCTCTCCAGAGGAGTTCCCAAGGTCTGGGTTCAATGGGGTGGTCCTTGTGAAGAAAGAGAAGGTGGAGACCTTTAATATTTAAAAACTTAGGGGCCAGCCCAGTGGCGTATTAGTTAAGTTTGCGCACTCTACTTCAGTGGTCCGGGGTACTCGGGTTCGGATCCCAGGCATGGACCTACGCCCCGCTTATCAAGCTGTGCTGTGGCACGTGTCCCACATATAAAGTAGAGAAAGATGGGCACGGATGTTAGCCCAGGGTCAATCTTCCTCAGCAAAAAGAGGAGGATTGGCAACAGATGTTAGCTCAGGGCTGATCTTCCTCACACACACACAAAACATTTAAAAATTTAAAAATTTTAGTTATGAAACATTTTAAACATAAAGTATAGCAAATAGTAAAACAGACAGCTATGCACCCACTTCTGAAATGAGATATTACCATTGTGTCATGTTTACTTCATATCTTTTTAGAGAAAGAAACATTTCCAGTACAGCCAGAGAGAGAAAGGGAAGGAGCTGCCAGGTGGGGGGCAGCCCGAGGGCGGTGGGGAGCGAGCACACTTGTTCATCTGCAGCATCATCCGTGTGCGCCATTCCTTTCCTGCAGAAGCACTGTCCTGCCAAACTCCGAGGGGCTGGGGGCAGAGACTGCTGTTGCATTTTAGGGATAAGTACTAGCTTCCGGGTTAGACCTGGCTATGTGCATTATTGCATTGATCCTCATGGCCACCTCTCTGAGGGATTACTTTCTCTCATTTTGTGCATGAGAAGACGGAGCTCAGAGAGGGTAAGCAACTGGCCCAAGGTCTCACAGCTGGTAAGAGGCAGAGGCAGGATTTGAACCCAAGACTGAACATGTAACCTGTGCTTGTAACCAGCAGCGTATAAAGGAGTGATGGGGCCCGTGCCGTGCCAGAGTGGGGGAGCCTCTTCCGAGTTCAGCTCTGGAGGACCTTCCGGAGCCCGGCCGTGCTCTGCAGCCCGGCCCTGCTCACAGCCTGGCCCAGCTGCTGCTCCTCCCTGGTGCACGGGCTGCCGTGAGCTGAGCCGGGGGGAGGCCCGCACCCCAGGGGCCTTGGCCGCAGAGCCCAGGCCCTCCTGCCTCATCCTCCATCTGCCCGGACGGATCACACTGCAGGGGGATGGCCCGTGAGCCCCGTCCCCTCAGAGCTGCCTTGGCTGCGGGGTGTCCTGCAGGACTGGCCTCTGTGCCCCCGTCAGGGCCTGTCCTGCTTTCGCCATCTGCTTCGGGCCTCCTCTGGCCTCCCCCGCCGCCCGGCTGCTCCCGATGGGCGTCCCCTCAGGAAACGGGCCAAAGGGAACAGAGAGGCCTCAGCCCGCCAAGGACAACACGCCTGGAGCGCTTCCTTGGCCTCTGGCTCAGGGTTTGTGCTTGGAAAGCGTGCTGCTTGTTCGTTTTAGACGCGGTGTGGCAGGCCCGCGCCGCCGGGACATGCCGCCTGGGGAGCGGGAGGCGCTGTCCCTCTGCCTCAGCGGCTGTGGACGGGGGCGCCAGGCGGGGCTGTGGAGCCCGGACGTTCCACAGAGAGAGGGGTCTCGGTCTCACACATGCCCGCGCCCCTCGTTAGAGGTCTGTGCGTCTCAGTGGGTGGTTGGGAAGCGTGGTCACTGGAGGCCTGGGGCTGCCTCGGGAGTCACAGTGGGGGCTCAGCCAGAAAACCCTGGGGCCAAGAGCAGTCAGCCTGGGGGGCAGGACTCAGACACAGTGCTGGGGGCAGCGTGAGGAGGGATCCCGGGGGGTGGCTTGCTCACGAAGCCCAAGGGAGGATCAGTGTGGGGCTGCTTTCTGAGCAGAGAGGACTTGTAAGAAACCTGGGAGGAAGGTGTGTGCCCAGCGTCCTTGGGGGACAGTGAGGACACAGGTGAGCCTGGGGAAGCTAGGCCACCTCCGGGCTCTGGGCACCGGGCTGGAGGGGCCAGGAAGGCTGAGAGCAGGGTTGGGGGTGCCGAGCAGGCTCGGGGAGATCTGCTGGCTTTTCCGCCCCTGCCCCTGTCGATGGCCAGGATGGCCAGGAACCGAGCTCCTGGAGGGTGGGGCCTCGGCGAGAGGACCGAGTGATGTCTGGACCCTGCTGGAGCCCCTCAGGTCTGCGGGTGTCACGCGCATACCTCTCCTTGGGGAGTGGACTGCTGATAAGAGAGGCCAGAACCCAGGGGGTTACGCTGGCTGGGGCCAGTCGTAGACCTAGTGGGACATGAGGGCAGAGCCTGCAAAATGGCCGGCTGTGCCTGTCTCCTGCTCCCATCCGAGGGAGACCCCCGCAGCCTCTGCCTCCAGGAGGCCGTACGTGATCCTCAGGATTCCACCCCAGCTGCCAGAGGGATCAGCCCAAGGCCAGCTGTGGCATGTGGCCAGGGTGGAAAGATGAGCTGGGCCAGCTGGAGTCCTGTTCTCTGGAATTTAAACTGGGAAATAAGGGGAAACTGAGTCAGCCATGGGCACTGGAGTGGAAAGTGGCCCAGAGTGTGGCGGTGATGGGCAAGTATGTGCTTGAGCTAGGGGTGTGCGGGGCATGTTAAGGATGCCGGTGGCCAGCCTGGACTGGTTCTAAGCCCACCACCTACTGCCCCCCCGGAGAAGGACCTCATCTTCTCTGAGCCTCCAGCGGCCCCGGGGCCCCAGCAGTGTCGTGGATGGCTCTCCCCAAGGCTTGCAGCCTGCCCTGTCTTCCTGGGCCCTGCAGAGTGGGCGGAGGCCCTGTGTCATCAGCCAGCTAACTGCCGCTGAGGCCCCCACCCTGCCCGGCCTTTGGTTCTCATCTCCTCCTCCACCAGCCTGAGGTGCTGGCTGGGCGCTCTCTTGGCTTCGGGGTGTTTGTCTATGGAAATCTGCAATTATCTTAACAGCCTTTGCTCTTTCCTCGGGCTAGTACACTGTCCCTCGTGGCAGGGGCGCTCCAGTCAGAGGTGCCCCCCAGGCTCCTTCCCCATCTCCTGGGCCCTATCCTTATCTCCCAAGACACAGAGCAGGGGTGTGAACGCTGCTCCAGCTGGCCAGGCTGAGCGGGAAGTGGGGGAGCGTGTCTCCAGGGCCCTCTTCCCTCCCCACCTGGGCAGCCCCAGGGGCAGGACCCCATGATGGCCCCTGGGTGTCCAGCTCCGGTCCTAGCGGAAGTCTGCCTCACACACACCACAGCCAGTGAGGTTACTTCTAGACTTTTCTTCTATCTGCCCTTCCACAAGCAGAAGTCCAGTGTGAAAGCCCCGCCCTGGGACCCTTTTCTCAGCCGGGACAACACCAGGGAGCAGGTGGTGCAGTCTGGCAGTGGCTGCGGGTGGCTTCACGGTCGCCCTTCCAGGCACCAGGCTGTTCTGGGTAGGGAACTGCCAGAGAGAGATGCCTGAGTGCCGCCAGCGCCCCGCCGTCCTCACTCTTATGGTGCTGAGCGCCGTCCGGCCAGGCCGTATCTGTGTCCCCCGCGAGGAAGGGGCTGGCCTGATCCTTGTCTACAGGTGAAGCAGCTGAGGGGCAGTCAGTGACTTGGCCAAGGGCAGGGTGGCAGTCGCGCCGGGTCTGCCTGACCCCACCCCGCCCTGCGGAGAAGGGAGGAGCAGCGTGAGCTTGGGTGCTGGGGTGGGCAGTTGGTGGGCCCCACAGGCAGGGGCGTCTGGCTCATCCAGTTTCCCCACCGAGATCTGCCTGAGCCCCTCCCCGTTACACAGAGAGGTTTGGGGGAGCTTCCGAGCTACCCCGCTGCAGCCGGTCGCCCCGCGTCCGTGCCGACCCTCCTCCTCCTCCCTCAGCTCGTGAACCAGCATGTGTACTCGGGCAGCGCCGACAGGACAGTCAAGTGCTGGCTGGCGGACACGGGGGAGCGCGTGCGCACGTTCGCAGCCCACAGACACAGCGTGAGCGCCCTCAAGTACCACGCGGGCACCTGTAAGTGACCCTGTCCCCGGCCCTCCCCACACTGCCCCAGCCTGCAGGGCCAACCTGTCCCCTTCACTCCTCGCCCCCAGCCAAATCCTCGCTGCCGTTCAGGAGGTCAGCGCCCAAGGGCAGTGGCTGCGGCTCCTCCATGCCCGTGTTCTTCCAGATGTCTACAAAAAAGGTCCAAATAAGGGTCTGGGGGCTCCTCCCACCCTTACCCCAGAAGAATGTTCAGAGGTCCTAGGGTCAAGAGCACGTCTCAAGGACACGTTCTAATTCTCACAGTGAGACAGTGACACCACTTACTCCATCCAGACTTGAGGGCCACATGGGTTTAGCTTCACTGGCATTATGTTTGACTACAGATAAGAGAAAACCCAGATAACAATGGTTTAAATGAGATAGTGGTTCATTTTTCTCTCAGAAGAGTTTCAGAGGCCAGCAGTCTAGGCTGGAGTGGATGGCTCCACAAAGTTATCAGGCACCCAGATTCCTTCTGTCACTTTGCTTCATCATTCTCACCACGTACCTTCTATCTTGAAGGGGGCCTCATGGTTCAAGATAGCTGCTGGAGCTCCAGCCATCATGTCATGTTTTAGGCAGGCAGGAAGAAGCAGAGGAGGGAAGGGCAAAAGGATGTATCTCCTAGCTGAATAGGCCCTTTAAAAATCTTTCCTTGAAGCCCTACCCAAAGACTTCTGCATACATCTCTTTGACCATTGCCCACGAGAGAGAGAGAGTAATAAAAGCTCTTGTCTGGGGACACTGCTACCAGGATCAGTCAGGATTATTTTGGAAAGAAAGAAGAGCAGAATGACTTATTGGGTAGGCAATAAGCTGTCCTACAAATTGTCTCCCATCCGGGCTTTGCTGGCTCTGTCCAGCTGGCTTGCCACATGTTTACACCCAGACACTTCCAGAAGACAGACACTGTTCCTGGGAAACAAGCCCGCCAACCTCACCACACCTACTTGGGAGTGGGGCTCCCAGCTTCCTGAACGTCTCTCTCCCAAAGTGATCCCCCATGTTGCGTTTTGCCCTCAGCTCTCCCTTCCCCTCTGTTTTCTCACACACATCTGACAGCAGTGGGAAGCAAGCCCCACGCGAGCTGAGCGAGAGCCATCTTCTAGCACTGGAGTGGGGGCAGACGAGTGGGGAAGAGTCACGGTGGAAAACTCAAGTCGGCTCACAGCACAGGTGTTAGATGAAGCGAGAGTGTGGATCTCTGAAAATAGAGCCTGAGATGCCCTCGGGGTGTAGGCGTCTGGCACGGAAAAAATTTTTTTCCCTTCTTCCTGTGTCTAAGCCTGTCAGTGTGATTCCGGCTCTGCTCCCAAGTTGGGGATCTCTGCTTTAGAAAGAAGGTTGCCTCGAGCGCCTCCCCTTGGCAGCAGCTGGGATGGAACCTGCTGCCGCAGCAAATCCCAGGGACCCCACGTGCTGCCCGCTATTAGGGAACCTTGGTTCTTGGTCTTTGCCAGCAGGCTACAGGATGATCAGATGTTCCCGCCCACGGGACGCCCAGCAGCCACACCGAGTTGGTGGAGGGGAAGGCAGGAAAGGAGCTGAAGAGACCCAGAAAGGAGACTTCCCCTCGGGGCCACATTCCCCTCTAGCGTTAGCAGACAGGCTGGGAATAGGCAGATGACGCAAGAAGTGGGGTAAGAAATAGATCCCCTGAGGCTAGGGCGCCCCCAGGGGTGCTTGCTGCGACCACTCAGGCTGCCGGGTGGGTGTAGCAGATGCTGTGGGTACCACGCTCAGGGGTGCTCTTGCTGGAGCACCTGAGGTCCCCTGCCGGAGATCATTTTCTTGTGAGGGGCAGGTCCAAGGAGGCTGAGAGTTGACACCCCTAAGAGAGGCCCTCAAGCAATGGTTAAGGGGCTTTGAGGGATAAATAGCCCAGCATCCTTGTCCCCTGGTGGGACAACCCTGAGACATGGTCTGCACCTTCTCCCAAGGGCCCCCAGCTCACTACTTCATCATGCCCCGTGTGGGCGTCCTTCCTTTCTGTTTCTCTCCCCACGTCCTGGAATGCCGTGCCAAATGAACTGTTTGCCCTCAAATCCTAGTGTCAGGGCCAGCTTCTGGGAGAACGCAGCTCAGACGATAAGTGCACAAGGGAGTGTCCTGGGCAGTGTTCCCAGCGTGGTCCCTACCAGCAGCTTCAGCATCACCCGGAACTGGCTAGAAATGCAGTTCTCAGGCTCCAAGCCAGACCTCCTAAATCAGAAACAGGTGGGCCCAGCAGTCTGTGTCTGAACAAGCCCTGGTGATTCTGTGCCTACTGGAGTTGGAGAGCTCTTGGAAAAAGCCCAAGGGAGGCAGAATCCAGGGCCTTACCCCTGGGAGAGGTGGTGCAGGAGCACCTAATGAACCCCAGAGGGTCTCGTTCTGTTTGGAGGGCCAAGTTCATTACTGAGGAGGGGGCCGACAGGCTTTCTGGTCAGCCCTTGCCCCAATAGGCTGCTCAGATGGTGGGGGGAGGGATGACCCCCCCCCCCCCCGCCCCAGGCTGGCAGAGAAGCCAAGCTTCAGAGGCTTCTACCAAACGGCCTGGGCCCAGAGAGTGGGATAGAAGCACCTGGAAGGATAGCGCAGGCAGACCTGAAGCCCAAGGAAGGCTCTGCAGCCGCAGCCCTGCAGAGCCCAGCTGGCTGCAGTGGTCGCCCTGACTCAGGAGTGTAGTAAGATCGTGAAGGTGCCGCCTCCTTCCTTTTAAGGGGCTCCTGCTATTTCCCATTTGCACCTTATGCCATCCCTGTGAGGCAGGCTGAGGGGCCCGGGAGAGGGTCCGAGGCCACTCTCCCCCCTGCCCCTCCGTGCCCCCGCGCTGCGGCGTCCTGGAGAAGGCGGAGGGCTCTGGACCGGAGGCCCAGTGGCGCCGTGTGTCCACAGTGTTCACAGGCAGCGGGGACGCGCGCGCGCGCGCCTTCGACGCCCAGTCTGGAGCGCTGCAGAAGGTGTTCCGCGGGCACGCCTTCATCATCAACTGCATCCAGGTAGGCGCCCCCGCCCGTCCCCTGGGCCCCCTAGGGGCTCCTGGCTGAGCGAGGGCGAGCCCGGCTGCCTCGGGGCGGGGCGGGGCGGGGCGGGGCGGGGGTGGGGAGGCCAGCCAGCAGCAATGCTTGGAGCGCGGGTCCCCGCGCCCCCTCACCTGCGGAGGTCTCCAGGGCTGAGACGTCACCATCGGTCGTCCTGGGTAGTTGCTGTTCACGCTGACGCCCGGGGCCTGCCCGGCGTGCTGACCCTGAGCTGCGGGGACGGCTGCCGCGACGCGCTGGGGGCGGGGGCGGGGGCGAGCTTCGCCACCCCCCCAAACCCGGGCCGGAGCCGCGCAAAACCCGGCGCGGAACGGAGGGCGGAGCCGGGTGGGCGGCCGGAGGCGCTGGGGGCGGGGGCGGGATGGAGGGGGTGGGGACGCGACCCAGGAAGAGGCACCCTGCTTTCGTCCAGGGGGCAGGCCTAATTGGCCCCCCTGGCTTCCTGCCCCGGTGCACTCTGGCCAGACCCGCATCCCCAGGACGCATCCCTAATCGCATCCGCGGGGATGATGGGGATGCTGCGGCGTCATGACCCCGGTGGTCCACATGGCCGCCTTCCTGTGTGAGGTCATTTGTTCAGTTCATAAGCATTGCATTTAACAGCGCTCAGTGGACCAGCGAGGAAACTGAGGCACGGGGAGGCGTCTTGTCCAAGGTCACCCAGTTAGAAAGTGGCAGACCCGGGACTTGCACCTGGGCAGAGTGGCTGGAGATGAGCGTGGTCCACAGCCCCTGGAGGCTGTCCTCTGTCCCAGCACCCAGTGGGGACTGGCCGGGAGGGGGCTCCTAGGGGGCTGCAGCTCTCCGTGTCCCCTGCCTTTGGGGCTCCAAGACAAACCCTCTTCTCTCCCGGTTTCAGACACCTCCCTGTGACCTCTCGGGCCCTCTGCCACCTTAGCACAGAGATCGAGCCCCTCTCAGGGCCTCAGTGTCCCCCCTGTGTCCAAGTACCTCCTCACGTGACTGTGTATGTCTCCACCACTGGGCTTCGTGCCATCCTGGTCCCTCTGGCATCTCCAGTATACAGCAGGCGCTCCATAAATGTTTTAGTATTATGTATTTATCTAGCGACATTTCCTGCACACCTACTGTGTGCTGGGACCACTTCTGAGCATTTGATGCATGTCAGCTCATTAACGCTCAGGGCAGCCCCACGAGGCTCCCAGAGATGGTAAACTGAGGCACAGAACAGTGAAGGAGGTTGCCCGAGGTCATGGATGGATGGATGGGAAGAGAGCCTTGGTCCTCTTGCTGTGGGATATTGGTCACCTCCTAAGTGTGCCTTACCCATTTGGTCCCACCCACGGCTCCCAGCAGCCCCGGGGGGCTCAGACAGGCTGTGTGGCTTCCCAGCGCCACGCAGGCAGCAGGCACGTGGGGGTCAGAGAACTTGCGCCCTGAGCCTCGGGACACACCGGGTCCTGGGCGACCGGCAGCCTCCCTGGCGTCCGTGGAGACAGCCCAGTTCTTCCAGAATCTGCCCGGGGGCCGCCCGGGCGACCACAAACCTCCGCCAGCAGCCGGGCCTTCCTGCCAGCGGTTTGGCTCTGCCCAGCGTTCCGGCCGAGCCCGAGCCCCAGGCAAATGAGCGGCCACCTGCCAGTGACCAGCCCCCACCCCGTGTCCTGCCCGCCTGGGGAGACTGAGGCCCCAGCTTGGCATCCGGGCTCTGCCCCTTCCTCCCACCTCCATGCCATCACCCAGGCCGTGCCCATCCCCGGGCGTGCCCTCAGCCCAAGTGGGCTCCTCTGCAACCTATTTCTTCCACAAACATTTATTGAGCACCTACTGTGTGCCAGATCTGGGCTGAGCAGTTACCAAGAGGAACCAGCTGGTGCCTTCAGTCTAGCAACGGGGACAGAAAAACAAATGGCTGCAGACCCCAGGGGACAGATAGAGGCTGAGCTGGAGGAGGAGCTGAGACCGGGCGGGGGGTCCAGGAGGACCACGAGGAGGTGATTCGGGGGCCGCAGGAAGACCACAGATTTGGCAAAGCACGCGGGATGCGGGGTGGGGCGGTGGGAAGGGCACACAGGCAGAGGAACCTGCTTGCACAAAGGCGCCACCCCCGCGGGCGGCTCAGCTGCCACCAGGCCTCAGCGGCCATGAATGGGTCTTTCATGCCCCGGACCAGGGCGAGGTCAGGCCGGGCCGCTCCCGCCCCCTGCCCCGGGCTCCTGGCTGTCTGAGCCCTGACCTGGAGGAGGGTGGCAGGAAGTCCGCAGGAGCCAGAGAGGCCCGGGGAGGGCCAGGCCTCGCCCGAGGTCACCAGCGCCAGCAGCACCCTCCTGTAGTGTGACTGTGAGCCAAGCCCGCCCCCTGGGCCTCAGTTTCCCCATGCGCTCAGGCCGGGCTGGGCAGCTCCGCGCTCGCGTCCCGCTCCGGCCCGGGCGCGCTCCGGTGCGGGTTTTGCGGGCGCCCGCGGCCACCGACACCTTCCTCCCAGCGCGGCGGGGCTGCGGCCCC